AACTTTCACAGGTCTGTAAAGCAAAGTAAAACTGAAGTAAGATCATAAGCACAGTTGCTGTTTCACTTAGCAACCACTTCACTTAACAAGTGAGTTGACGGTCCCAATTGTGGTTGCTAAATGAGGACTACCTGTATTTTCCTTTTACTTCTAGGGGGCCTGACTACTTTCTTGCTAAACAGTCTGACTGTGACTGATCTGTGCACTCCTGACATATCTTAGCCAGACTACCAGCACTCCCAATTCTGAATTTGTTGCATAAGAAAATGTCATTTAGGAAAGAGCCTCAATATTCCTTATGAACATCCATTTTCTTGGCACAAAAACTCTTCAGTTGATCTACCTGAAATCTGCTATGTATGTGAGCTATTCTCACTGTAAATGTCATCATATCATCAGTTTGGGGAAGGGAGGGGAACGTTTATACAAAGGCATCTGTGTTTCAAAGGAATGTAATTTGAACCCCCCTGTACTGATTTTCATGAAGTCTGGCAAGTTTTGTTCCTTTTTAACACTCTAACAAACCTTGATATTTCATCCTAATCTGCTGGGGAAAAAAATGCAAACATTACAGTTCTTCTCATTAAATAATGTCAAGACAAATTTCTATTTTTCTAAATGTCACTTCAAATCCAGGCAAAGCCAGACTGCATTATCTCTAGAGTGATTCATACCAGACTGGGCTGTTTTCACAGCTCTGATTCAAACTGAATAGTTTCTATGAATGCCGCATATAATCATTTTCTTGCAAAAATAATCACTTCTCAAAAATATAGAGTCATGCTGTGACATCTGAAAACAGCCATTCATGTCAAGCCTACCCAATGGAGGGCATTCAGTTTTTTGTTGTTTTTTACAAACTTAAATTAGTGAACAAAGAGTCCATATTAAACTATTAATTACAACTTGGGACAGCAGCTTTCCATAATAAGCCACATGTTCATTTTTTAATATACTTTTTGGTTTATATCCTAAATTATTCATAGTCATAGACACACAACAGTGTATTGGTCACATGGTAAGACAGCTAAACCAGAAAAAGTAGAAACACTGGGTTCTGAATCCAGAAACTTGTATATTAAATAGTAGTTTCCTACATAATAGGAATGCAAATTTAGTTCAACAGATACATAACACGCTCATCTGATCTGTGCAGAGACAAGTCTTTGCACAAATCATATGATGCATGTCTTAGCTACAGTGACATCTCTATTTGTTCATAAATTGGAAGTGAACATGAAGACTTGTAGCAGCACAAAAGGAGTTTATTTCCAACAAAGTAACTTTACTGTCCTTCAGTGGAATGTGCTGTAATAGTTTGCATAAAAGTGCTGCATGACTCCTCTCTCAGAAATGTGTAGAGAAAAAATGGAGATTAATTAACACCCCCCCCCTTCAAAAAAAGAAAAATGAAAGGGATAGTCTTCTACCACAGAATGGGACAAGCTAGCTTTGTTGTTATGGGATGTACTTGTGACAGTGGTCTCTGCATTTTCAAACATAATAAAAATGTAAAAGTGTCTCTTTAAAGCAATCTTCTAGGAGAACTGTTGTTTGTTTGCCTGTTTATAGAATGTATAAAGCAGTGTTGACCAAACTTGGCCACTTTAAGATGAGTGGACTTCAACTCCCAGAATTCCCCAGCCAGCCATGGACAACACTGGTATAAGGACTCCCAATTCTTAATTTCTGCATTTGGGTGGTATATATCAATAATAACCAAAAAGTCAAAATCCAACAAACGTAAACCCAGTATAACAAACCACAACTGTATACTCATAGCCAACACTGGAAGTAACAAACACTCCCTCTCCCAACAGAACAGCCTCAGTTACCATCCCGGCCCAATTAATCTAACACAATTTACCAACTGGTTCAAGTCACACCATTTCTGTCCACGTAAGCATATATTTTTACCTTATAACAAAACTGAAAGCACAATTCATCAATAAGCAAATAACAGTTGTGTGAGGTTAACTCAAATGTTCAAAACATTGCATATTAACATCTGTTTAAGTTTTCAATGCCTCATAAAAAGTTAATGGCAAAAACAAAATAAGACAAAATGTTCACATATGTAGTAAAGTCACTGCCATATTTTCCATTGTGGTTTTATCCATCTGGCGCCCAGACATACTTGTCAGACACTGTATACGTACAAAACATATAGTCCAAAAGGCCACCTCCCTCACATTAAAAGAATTCTTAAGTGCTTGACAGTTCCTGTAAACAGGGGTATCAACTATCCTGATCACTTTTCAGGACTCATGTGGAAAGACAAAATTAAAGAAGAGAAAGCCTGCTCTACTAGCACCCTACCTTTACAGAAGCATCATTCTGAATCTAAATGCTATTATGAATCCAAACATAAGGCACAGGATTTCATAAATGAAATAATTAACAACATTGTCTCACAAAAATAAATAAATAAATAAATATATTGGTTTCTTCCAGTTTAAGTTCCAATACTTTACATGTTTCTGTACTCCATTTAGTTCAGATGAGATTTTAAAACTTTGGCAAAATCTAAATTCACTGGAATGTCCAGATCCTAAAATAGTTCTGTCTTGATCAAAGGTAAAAGTGTCAGGGTTTCATTAACAACCCTTTGATTGTACAATTTGCAATCAATTGTATAACTTATTGCACAAATAAGAAAATACATGTATTCTGAAGTGTCCCTGTAGTGTTTTCAACAAAAATCATAAGAGATTAGTTGCACCGTTAAAAAATTAACCTCTTTAAAAACCATAAAAATGTTATTTAAAAACCTTAAAAGCATTAATCCATTTAAAACAAGATTTCAAATATCATCAGACTTTAATTTAAACCAGATCAGCTCAGGGACTCAAGATATATTTCTCTTTAATCTGATGTTAGCTTGAACATCTGTTTCAATAATCACTGAACTTTTCCTGTACTGAAAACCACTACAGTCCTGTAGCTGGATCATTTTGGTGCAGTGCATCACTTTTTAATGTTGTGATTAGTATGTACCCAGTTGTTTGAAAGACCTCAGAATTAATCCAATGAATTGAATTTTTGCAGCTGTGATGGGATACATTAGATGTCTGTAGTTTAATGAGACAATAAAGATGATGTGCGTCAATTCTTACACCATTAGAAGAATGTTTACAGACTGCAGAATGGAGAGTAATGCCCCTCTAGCAATTTGATTTGTGTGGCTCCAAATACATGGAGGACAAGTCTATCAAGGACTGTTAGCCCTGAAGACTCACTGTTACTTATGGGCTGGGGGTAGCCCATATTCTTCAAATATGAGATGCAGGTGAATAATGGCAGGAAAGAGGTATATCTCCCTGTCATGCTTGTGAGCACCCCAGAGTTGGGTATTGTGAGAGACAAAATGCTGGATTATAGTGAATAATAATGCTGGAATAGCCTGATTCAGAAGGGCTATTCTTAAATTCTAATCCTGTTCTTCCTCATGTCTGCAGGGATGTGTTTGCCTCCCATCCTTGAGTGCTGCCTTCACAATCTACATTTACAGTGGCCAGCAATGTGGCTGGTTGGTGTTGCTGCCTGCACACATTATAAAGTGGAGAAGTTTCATGGCAGTGGCTGGCATAATCCCTGCTGCCCTTTACCCTCTCATCCAGCATCATTGACTGGCAGAAAAGGAAAGCACCAGTCACTGTCCCCAAACCTCTGCCCTGGCCAGGCTTGGTGCTTTGCTGGAGGTGCTGCATGCAGTATTTTTAACCAGAGGACCATTGATGCCTCTGGTTAAGAATTCCTACAGACAGAACTTTTAAAAAACCGGTATGCGATTCTCAGCCTCTGGAAAAAGAGAAGCCCTTCGGGGGAAAGTCAGCCCTTGTGCATGACAGGGATGGGAGGCTACCTTGCATATCCTGTGCAGCCTTTAGTTTTGTGTCGCGATGGGAGTACCAACCTCCTGGAAGAACCCTGGCTATGTTTTTCATAAGGCCAATATCCCCATGTCTGAACAACAAAAAACAGAAAAGTCAGGCAGTGTCGGTAAGGTGCCTAGTCCCTCTGGCAACCCTAGCAAGAATGGCCATGGAGGCACAGAGTCCTATCGGCTGGATGGAAGGAGGAAACCATGAGATGAGCCAACTGGAGCGCAGCAGATTGCCAACCTCTGAAGGCTACTCCATGGGACCTAAATGTCAGCTTGCCAGGTCTTCTGCTGGCACAGGACAGAAAGTATTAGTTCATACTAAAACAGTCTTAGTCCAACACCAGCCTTCCTCAGCAGAAGGTTGGCCATGAGATGGAGGTTCTGTTATGAGGATACATCTTCAGCAAAATGATGAGTGGGCTGTTTTTGCACCGCAACAACCAGGACATGTGGATGAGCCCACTATGTGATTTTTTTTTTTACATTACTCTGGGGTAAAAGTTGCCTTCAACTTCCATTGCTTTTGCTGAACGTTTTGGATTTCTAATTTTTAAAAATTCAACTGCAGACTGAGCTGACAGCATAAGATAGACATTTCAGAAAATCTGGGAAAAACTTTCAGTGTGAATGCCAAACCAGATATCTAGTTAGTTTACACTTCAGCTCTCTCAATCCCTTGTCTCAATCCAGCATGCTGGCTGGATCTGAGAGGAGCTAAAATATAAAATGTCAGGAGGACATCAATATGTCTAACCTTGGCCTAAAAACTGTCCACAGGTAACTGTCCCCCAATAGTGAAAAGCAGCTATGCAGTAGATGACAGAAAGAGAAGAAAAAATGGAGCTGAAGTTGATTCACATCACCAACACTGTGGTCCCAATCTGAATCAGAGGCTCCTGTACATTTCAGTACTTGCTAATATGAAAAAAAAAGTTCTGATCCCAGAGTTCTAGTACCTCTGTCTAGGCAAGACCTCAGAAAACATTTTGAAACACACTTTACAAGGAATTCACACCCACTGTTATGCAGACTGAATGCACAAACAATTATTTTGAAGAGCACCTCACATATGGAGAAAAACCTAAGGTCATAAGTATGCACCAAGAGGACATACATCACTTAGCTTTTCGATGTCTTGAGAGCAAGCTGCGGCTATTTTTTGCTCTTTATTCACTTCTGAGACAAGCCTCATGATGGTTTCTCTGTTGGCTTTCAGCTCCATCTCATGAATGGTTACGGCCTCTCTGAGGGTGGCTATTTCTTCTTTTAGCATGTCATTTTCTTTACACATATCACGGATCTGGAAGCACAAAAGTATGATATTATGTTCAAACTGGTGATTTAATGTTGCTTTGAATGTCACTAAATCAATATATATTTAAATACGTTTGCTTTGTCGTCTTTCAGTTGCACCACTGAAAGAGATACTTGAAATTGAGCATTTTACTGTCTGCACTGTCCTCTGTGGCCATACTTTAACCTTGGTAGTAGAATTTAATCTAGACGGCCTCCTATGGAGATGCAAGAGTATCCCAGTTAGTCTATAAAATAGATGTTTTCCTTGATATTAGGCACTGGGGAATCATCTGCACTAGCATTTAGGTTGCTGTGTAAACTTAGTTCATTGTTACACCACATTGCCCAGTCCCCAGCCCCCTGACATTATTTCTCCCTCAATATTCTATTTTGTCCAGATTGTTTTTATAACTATTTTTGCACTTTTCATGTTCCATGTTCCAACTGTGCATCTTCCATTATAAGTATGATATTACTCTTACTAGTGGGATTGGTTTTAATGGTAAGAAACCTTCTTCTCTGGCCTCCAGAGGGGGAGGTAGGATCTACAAGCAGGAAATCACAGATCCCCCTGCATCACAGGCTGTTTGTCAGTACATACCAACACAAGTGCACAGCTGTGACTAACCCACAATCTTTATTGTGAAACCTATATTCCTTGAGCAGCTGCTCATACAATCACCAGATGCAAAACAAAGCAAAGCAAAGTGCAAAGGTGGCACTTTGTGTGCACCCTAAGAAGGCAAAGAATAAACCACCTGGGATTTTACTTCTACTGTTACAACCCTACACAGTAGTATAGACTATCTGATTGTCTGATAATGCAACAGATACCACAGTCCTTTCTTTAATATGTCCCCCCAGAAAAAAAAAAAAAATGCCTAAGAAACCCAAATGGTCCCAATGCAGATCTGGTTAGAATTTTCTTCTGCTTGTAATTAAAACTCAGAGAAAGCAGTTTAGAATAAGAAATGAGAGACTAGAGACCAATAGCTTCCACCCATTGGTCAAACCACAACTCTTTTGGCAACTTTGGTGCATGAGAACTGCGTACGGGCAAATGAGAGGCAACAAGTTTCATCCCTCTTGCATGAAGACCACCAGAAACAAGTGGTCTTCATGCAAGAGGAAGCAGAAATCCATCCCTTCCTCACCATGTGACAGAGGCCAGGATTTAAGTACCATAGCCTGTTGAGAGTATGCTAGTAAAATATATTTTAGGCTAGTCAACTTTACATACTGTAATTATAGCCCAGGCTCAAAAGGTAGCCTAGATTTTGACTGGTAGAACAGTAACATTAGTGGCTGAAACTTTCATCTTGTCATTCCTCGCAGTCTAGATCAAAATTAGGTATTAAGCCACAGCAAACATGCCCTGAGACACCTCAGGGACCAAGGCAGGGCTCAGATAACATTCCAAGCCATGATTTGTCACATAAACCACAATTTTCTAGTCATCCATTGTGTTAAACTACAAGCTCTGGTTTGCAAACCACAATGGCTGGTTTTATACAGCATGCTAAGCCACAAAGCCACATTATGGCTTACCACAACGCATGGACCCAGTTATTGTCTTCATTCCTTGTCTTGCTGCCATAATTACATCCTTCTTTTCTTCTACTTCTTTGAAACCAAAGCTGCCTGTCTGAAAACTTTCCCAATTTTTTTCCCAGAGTCACTACCCGTAATGGTTTATTTATGATAATTATAATAGTAATGCAAATGGCTAAAATATTATTTTAATATTTTTATTGTAATAGTTTAACTTGTGCTTTATCTGGTACTGCTTTTATTGATTTTATTACAGCTCTGTTCCACTGAATATAATTCATTGAAAACGAGAGCCTTAAAGTGATGCTTTCTGCCATTTAATATTTCCTATGATTACAATGCATGAGCTGCTTGTGTTTTTTTCCTGGTTGTTTTAGATTTGTTTAGAAATTACAAAATCTTACCAATGTGTTCAAAGCTGTAAGCACTTTGCTGAATGCCCAGGAGGAAGAGTAACTACCACTGAAGTAAATATGTAAAGGAAAAGATGTGCAATAGTGGTGAACCCTTTTAATCTGTCCCCCGCTGTCCCCTACTCTGTGGTCTCATCAATCCTGAAGATGCTGATTTTGGATGTCAAGTAAGAAAACAATAAAGCAACAGCTCTCCGTGATTTAATACTCCTCTCTCTGCTGCATTGTCAAGTATAACAAAAACCCATTTGGATAAAAGTGAAGAAGTGTTCAGAAGACTCCCTTTTCTTTCTAATTCCAAGCAGATTAAAATGAAAAAATAAATCTAGTTAAGACAAAATTCTATGGGCTAGCAGAAATTCTAATCTGGATAGAGGTCTACAGTCAGATTCAAAAGGGGTCGCCCACTAGGATGAGGTAAACTAGAGCTGCCAGATCTGGGCTGCAAAACTCCAGATCACAACTAGAGAGTGGCAAACAGTTCAGTGTTCCACATTTCTTTGCTGCCATCTGATGGCTATTTGGCCTTCTGCAGCCCAGAGCTGGCAGCAAAAGGTAAACAGCTTGAAGATAGTAACTTAGAGATCATAAGCAATTACAATTGTATCCAAAAATAAAATTACATGAACAGATAGTATGGTTTACAAGTTTTGTAAGGAGCAGATAGGACAAGCAATGTAACACCAAAGCTCAATATATGATTTCTACATTTATTATTTTGGGATAGTGGCAGACAACTGTCCCTAGAATAAGCTTGGATTAAATTATGTCATATCTATCTGAATAACACCGGAGATGAGGATTCTTCAGTAACAGAGGTGGACACTTAGGGCTCAGCCTCACTTTACATTAACTGCAGCACAAATATCTCCCATTAATTGTTTCCATAGGACCTGTCCTCATGATGCAGACTTTGCCTCATCCCCAGCCTGCCCTGGAGGCAGGCACTTGCTCCCACTTGCCTAAGCCCGTTCTAGTACCCTTAAAGGACAGCAATCAGTAATGCTTGTTTCTGCTGGATGGTGACATTGATGGAAGGGGAAATGAAGCCAGGGGAATCTGTTGATTGCTGCCCTTAAGGTGTAAGGACAGGATCATTCACAAGCTTCATTACTGAGGCAGATTAGAGCTTGGGTGTCAGGATAAATTCGTGTAAATTATGCTGGCATATTTTTTCTGATGACCCAAGGACTAGAAGAATGCACATTAGCACTACTAGGATTGTACAAATCTCTTCCCTAATAACATCCTCTCTCTGGCAGCTTTAAGCAGCCCCTAAAGATTTCATTTTTATCCTTCCTAGTTTTTTATTATCCTTTCTGCTGGCCCCCTGATGTTTTCAGGTTAATATTGTATTTAATTAAAACAACCTTTATAACATTTTTATAGTAAGGGCCCAAGTGAGGGCCTACAGTAAAACCTAGGGTGGAAATAGATTTAATAAAAGTCCTGGAAGAAAGGTCTTACGTCATGTTATTTCATTCACAAGATTCCAGTTATATAATGGATGTCTTAAGGAGCTTTGATACTATTTCTGCAGTTTAATTTGAAGAGGTATGTTTTATTATTATACATATATTTTTAAGAAAACCTTGGAAAGCAGTAGTTCTGGTGACTCTTCATTTCCTCTTATGTCTAGTTTCAGAAGATGACAAAGTTGTGCAAAGAATTCAGTCTGTTCCCTGATGACTTTAGATGCATGGGACTTGCTTTCTTCAGATTTGTTCAAATATTTTCTAATTAGGATACAAAACAAAGCAGAAATAATATTAATTTGATATGTAAGAAAAATATAACCCTTTATCATTGTTGTTTATATTAACTGTATCAAGATATCATTACGTCAGACCAAAATACATAATTTCATTAACTTAGCTAAATGTATATCTACCACATATTGCCCCATGATTTAATTAACCATATCCTAAACTGTGAATAGAACAGATAGTTTGGGGTGGTGGTTAAGGCATCAGGCTAGAAACCGGGAGACTGAGTTTCCAAGAAAACTGCAAGGACTAGTCCAGGCAGTTGCCAGAAGTCAAGATTGACTTGAACACACCAAAAATTTTAAAAAGTCCAGAGGATGTAGGTTCCTTCCCCCCTACCCCCATTATAAAAGGGCTGTGTGGTGTTCAAGGCTGATCTTGCTTTTCCATTGTGGTCTGGGGAATCAGAATGGCCTCTCCCTGAAAGGGCCCATAGTCAAAATGGATCTGCCTGTTTGCTCAGAGGGAAAGTGCTATTTTCAGATTACGAAATATCCTCCATGGAACTCAGAGAACAGCAATACACAGTAATAAATTTCCTTTCTAAACAAAAATTATCATTACAATAAAAGTGTGCAAAAATGTTGAATATATGCAGAAAAATATCCTTCTTTTATGAACGCTGATATGAAAATCTTATGTCATGTATAGTCATATAATAAGTTATATGTAACAAAAACCAAATCAGTTTCATTCATTTAATACTGACTAATTAATTGTACTGGAAGGACTGTTATACATACCATCAATAGATAGGATTGAATGTGTATTTATTCTGTTTTGTTTTTGTGCCTTCCAGTCATTGCTGATTCCTGGTAACTGCCTGGACTAGTCCCTGCAGTTTTCTTGGCAAGATTTCTAGAAGTGGTTTTCCCTTGCCTACTTCCTAGGGCTGAGAGGGAGTGACTGGCCAAAGGTCACCCAGCTGGCTTTGCACCTAAGATGGAACTAGAATTCACAATCTCCTGGCTTCTAGCCCGGTGCCGTAACCACTACATCAAACAGTCTCCCTCTCTTTATAGTCAGAGTTAAACTACAACAGAGTATAACAGTGAAAAAGAAAAACTTACATAAAATGGAGGAGAAAAACAGAATATTCCCAAGAGTTTTTGCCTATCATCCACAAATACAGTGAGGCAGAAGTCCTAAAAAGGGCCCTCCACCAAAATTCTAGACATCAAAATGAGCCTCCATGCGGCTCAGACATTCACAGTAAGAAATAATTTCTCCTGTGGCCCATTAATGGCATTTTCTAATTTGGGATGCAGAAAAACATTATGTACCTTCAGCGGGAGCCTAGAATTCTACAATACTATTTCAGCAACTTCTGCAGGACATTCTCCCAAATGTAACTGAAATAAAATCATACTGACCAGTATTACAGAGCTTAAAGAAAGCTGATGATCAAGTGACAAGCCTGCACACCATTAAAATGGGGGAGATGACATAAAGGGTTGCATACAGTAACTGCTCTTCTGAGAGAAGTTGCTCTCTAGAGCCCTCTATGCTTCCACTATCCATTCTTTCAATTAATGGGAAATTATGCCTTTGTTCCCATTTCATTCTGCTGCTTTATCAAGCAAAGATATTAACAGTGTTTCAGATTTCTGCAACTGAAAGTATCTTGTCCAAATAAAAGCAAAGTCTGCTATCAACAACCCACTTATGCTGGGTACGCCCCTGAGGGTCAGACTGATAAAGGCAGAATGAGGTAGAGAAATTTCTTGAATTTTATGGAGCAAGAAACATAACACTGGAATGAAGGAGGAAATTGGCCTAAAGGCCACTTTATCATTATGAAAAATACACAAGTGGAATTTAGCAGAAAGTGCTTCCAACTATGAAACTTATCTAACAGAAATTTCAGCAAGTTGTAAAGCCATCTTTAATCATAATAATTTATGAGATCATGTAGCCATAGATTAAAGAAGTTTCTTCTAAGTGTCAAAAGAGCCCAACTGAGGTTCCATGTAAGGAATCTATACATATGCGTTTAATATGGATGAGAAAAAACATATTTTCCCTGCACACTTCAGCAACTCAGCAAATTGAATGAACGAACAAACAAACAAACAAATAAATTCTATTCCAAGCATCTGACCTTTAATAAAACCTTTTCTCCCCTAAGGAAGTCAATGTCTGTAACGAACTTGTATAATGATGATGGACCTTTATTCTTGGTGGCGCACTAAGCCAAAAAGGCAATAATTCCTTTTAGTTGAAGCTAAAGCTTTCTGAGAAGAAAACAGTGTCTTCAGAATCTCTGCTGGGCAACCTCTGACAATACTCTTCAGCCTCCAGGCCAGGCCTGGACAACATGTAGAGGATAAAGGGCCACATGGATAAACTAAAAATCATCACAGACCGCAAAGGAATATCTGACACACCAATCAGTGGTTTGGTGGCTAAAAGAGCAGCTGCAGCTCTGGAACTGGCAGCAGGGAGGCCTGGAGGCTTTGGAGGCGCTCGGCAGCATGGCTTTCGGGGGGGGTGGCAGCAGATCTGTCTTGGTGGCAATGCCATTTGGTGGTGGTGAATTTATTGACTTTTTAAAATCCCCGATAGCTGGCTAAGGAAGGAACTTTGATTCTCCCATAGTTGCCCTTTATTCATTTGTAGAGGTTACAATACTCTCAGCCCTTCCAAGAGAAACTGGATTAAATGGAACGTCCATTCCATCCTCCCCCCTGAAAAATTAAGTTCTTCTTTGAGAAGTTGGTATACTGCCTGAAGTTCTCGTAGAAAGTGAGACCTCTGGGAAGGGTGGGGCAGAGTCTGATAACAGGTGCAGGAAGTAGCCATAAGATACCTGAATAGGTGACTTGTGAATAGAAGAATGAATGGAGTTGTTATATGTGAACTTGGCCATAGACAGCAGTTCAGGCCAGCTGTTCTTCCTGATAATTCATACATCAACAAACATTTGTCCCCTCTGTCTCATCACTGGATTGTGGATGAACAGCTGAGGATAGTGGAGTAACATCTAAAAGTTGAAAACAAGCCCTTCATATTGCTAAAATGTATAAGATGTTGTTACAGATGAACTTAGAAAATGAACAAGTCAAGGATTGTATGATTAAATGGGCTAAACATTTTGGATACAATATCATGTTGGAACAATGGGAAAATATGTGGAACAAAGGTTTGAAATT